ATTTTTAGTCTATAATAAATGACACATTTTATTAATAAATATTAAATTAATTAATAATTTTTAATGATATCAAAAATATATTTTAATTAACAAATTCAAGCATATTTTTTATAAGAAAATAATTAAGAATTTTATTTTTTGTTAATTCTTTTAGATAAAAAATTTTAACTAAGAAATATTTGTAATTTAAGTAAATATGAAAAACTTGAAATGTTAGCCCATGATAACAACTTTAAATATAAATTGTAGATCGAAAATTCATAATAATTTTCTAATTTCACATTGACAATGATATTGTCAACAACACAACAACCCCAATAAGAAAATCATTAAAATTGGCAAAGGCTTTTTTTAGTTTTTTGGGTTAAAATTCAAAAAATAATAAAATAAGTTAAAATAGTTAATTAGATAAAATGTCACATCAAATTCATAATTATTTTTTTTTTCACAAACATCACATTCAATTACAAAAAAATATAACTATCTTTCTAAGTACAAAAATTTTAACCTATTAAAATAGTTACTTTCCAAATACCCACAAAATAAAAATCTTCTGTTTTTACTGTCATAACTTCACAAGTATTCTCAATTGTTGTTTCATTATTGAATGTTTTAGAAAGATAGTTAAAAATTAATTTTTAAAATTTTTTAACTTTTTTTATTTTATTTTATGTGAAAGATGATGTGATTAAAAATAGATTAAAATGTGACTTTTGAATTTTTAGCGTGTTACTAAAACGTTTGTATACATATGTATGGCAAATTGTTATATTTCAGAATAATATTAGAGATTTTAAAATTTTATCAAAATTAATGTCACATAATGTGAGCGGGTCTGAGACTCACATATGAATCTCATACTGATATGAAATATTTAATAAATTTTTTTAAATATCTAACATTTTTGTGTATTCAAAAATGTGGAGAGAGAGAGAGAGGAGAGAGGGGAGAGTCAAAGAGTGTATTGAGTTGTCGTTTCAATCTACAGTTGATCTATCAGATGATGTGAGTATGTAGTACTGTAGGAGGCATCAGTATATGTTGCAAATTAAAAAAAGTATGTGGTTGGTTCGTAACACCGTCACGTGTTATTTTCTGTGTATTTTGATTGATAGTGAAGATAAGTTAATTTTATGAGTGTTTTGATTAATAAAAAAAAATAAGATTTATAATTTTATATTAAATAATTAAAAAATATAAAAATTTATAATTAAATAAAAATAAGACTACGAGGTAATTCTGAATTAATCAATAATTTTTCTGCAACCATGAGACTTAGGGCTCCACACTCTTGCAGTTTTCAGCCTCATATGACCTTTTTGCCCCCATGCCCTACATACAAAACTGCCAACATGCATATTGCCACGCCTTTGATGAATTATTGGTCGGTTTACGCCCTGTTTGTTTACGTAGGATTTATTTTTTTTTTTTATGGTTTTTAATACAATAAAAAATAATTTTTATGGCCTATACAAAACAAGTTAACTTCGGTAAAAAATATTTTTTACTTTTGAAAGGAAAAAAATAATTTTTAGACTAAAATTTTACAAATGTCACCACAGTATCACCACTCTCATCTTCACCACTACACCATCATCAGCATGGCTACCGCCATCATCACTAAATATAAAAAATATATATATATTTCCCTAGAAACCACAAACTGAAAAAAAAAAATCGTAGAAAATATTTTTCAATCAAACAAATAGAGTTAAATTTGGTAATAAAAAATTAGAAGTTAAAAAGTACATTTTCTTCACCACCTAGTTAATCAATTTTTTTATAATTCATTTAAGTTATTTCTACCTAATAAGTTATATTTAGAAGTTGTTTCAAACAGTCTAGTAGACACTCCTAAATTAAAATAAGGTATAATCACCATTTTAAGTTGTGCAAACACCTATAATAGTGACTAATTCATTTAAAATTTAAAATTATTAAATAGTAATAGTTTCATTATTTATCTTTTTTAATATTTTTTTATCAACAAAAAGAAATTTTATTAATAACGAAACATGAACAAAACAAATGAGGCTAATGACGAAACATGAACAAGTCATTTTCTTCACTAATTCACCATTTTTATCTTTTTTAATGTCTTTTCCCGTGTGTGGAAACTCTCCACAATGAGGCTAAATTTTTGTTCAAGAATGTTAATTATAAGATAGGTAGTGAAATTTAAGCACAAAATTCATTGCTTGTTCTCACATCATATTATCAAATATGCGCAACAGTTTGACAATAAACCAACCAATGTTATTGATGGTGAATCGAGCTATATATATATCGAATATGATTGAATATAAATCAATACATATCATGAAAACCAATGGATATGTATGTGATTTTCATATTAGGGCATTCCGTATCTAGATGGCATAACAATACATGCTATGAACATGAGCATTTTGAAAAATATGTCGTATCTGTACCGGATACTTATCAGCGTATGGTATATCGTATAATACTTTTGTATACATGCACGTACCCAAAAATTTTCTTCTTAATTTTTGGAGTACCCAATCGTACCTAGTATATACTCAAGTCACACCGCACCTCAATTAAAACAATATTTTTTTCTACTACATAAATAAAACTTATTTCACACTAAATTTCTTTTTTATTTTTTGTTTTATGGTTAGCATGATTTTAAAATTAAATTATGGTTTATAAGTAACTTAATATATTAATATTTAATTTTAATTTATACTTTTACTTTTGACATTAAATGTTAAAAGTAGGTTAGACCTTAACAAATTAAATCATTTAATTAATTCTTACATTACTTTAAATTAAAAATAAATATTTTTTTACAAGCGTACCAAGGCATACCCGTATCCTATTTTTTATAAATTTAACCGTATCGACATACCCGTACCCATACCCGTACCCCATGTTTTATAGAGTACATGTACATGATACCATATTTAAAATTAAAATAATGTATTTGATAAAAATACTTCTTTGGTTTATGATTATTCAGAGTAATTATTTGTTCTCAAAAAAAAAAAAAAAAAAAAAATCTCCATTGCAAGTTTTATGGTTATTCAGGGTAAGTAGTTGCTCTAATCCTCACGACTAGGGATGAATCTTGTTGCTTTACATGGATAGAGATGACGGGAGCCACATTGATACACTAATGAAACTATACGGTTTAATTTATCAAAATTAAAATATTAGAGTTTAAAGTATAAAACACATGAGATTTTGCAATTTGTTATAATCAACTCAAAAAAAAAAAAAAAAATCAATTCCCAACTCAATCTTTAATTTGGGTTCATAGAATTATTGTACTTGTATTAGCTGGTGATCTTTTTACTCCTATTACATTAACAATTTTTTTCTCTCTGTCTTTGCTGGGCTCTCTTTCTCTTTAAAAGGTAATGATTTGCTTTGAATTTACCAAGCAATAGTGAATCTCAAATATGTTCCATCCATCAACAAAAAAAAACACATCTCTCTCTCTCTCTCTCTCTCCACTAACCAAAGCAAAAGGGGCATCATATGCACCCTCAAAAAGCTGATGTATTTGTAGGATATGAAAAGCCTATCTCAATTCTCAACTACATTTGGAACAAAATATACTCGCATCAGTCTCTCACTCAGTCTTTGTTTTGTTATCCAGTGAAAACTTCCCTAAGCCTCAAGGACACATCTTTTCATTACCTATTTCAATATACTTTGTGTGGATAGGTGATCAAGACTCCTATAACAACAATAATAATAATAATACAAGTATAAATGAATCATTAAAGCCAAAAGCCTGAAAAGAAAAGCCCCACTTGGATCATCATCATCATTCCCAAAAGTGACACAAAGATTTTGTTATTGTCTCCTTCTTAACCATCTCCTCAAATCCCTTATTTATTAGTCATCCTAAAAAACATGAATCCGAGGAGACCTATTGATAGTTTTTTTTTTTAAATCTATTTTGTATTTTTGTTTTTCTTATATAGTTAAGTTAGTTGAACCTTTCCTGTTTAGCATCATTTTTATTATTCTTGTTTTTCTTATAAGAAGTTTATAAATACACATTATTTTCATATCATTTTTTTAATTTTGTGCACTTTTAATTGGTGATGAGAAGTATCTAACAGAGTCATTTGGATTTTTTAAGGAGATAATGTGGAGTTTTAGGAAACCTATTCTGAAAACTCACTTAAATCCTCTATGAAACTTCTAGGGAAATATTAGATCAAATACTCTGGGAAAGTGTAAATCAAACTTTGCAAAGTATGTTGGAGATGCTCATAATAAAAATGACTTTTCTTTTTCTTCTTTTGATTTGTTCTTTTTTATTGCACTCAGTAGAATGTTAGCATATTAGTAATTTAGATTAGCACAATTAGGCACTCAACGTTATTCTGTAAAGTTCGAACGCCAAACTTTAAACTCACTGTATTTTCTTTATAAAAATGTTCAGTTGTCTCAAAAATAGGTTCTCCAAATGTTTTCTTTCCACAAAATCTCTAAAACTCAAATGCCTATTGAATCTAAATGAAGTGAATTTGACATACACATAACTAATGTCTCATTAGGTATCTCCTAATCCTTAGATGTTTCATTCAGAATACCAGACCACTTTGGCCAAACTTTGCCTTAATTTAAGGGGCTATGTCTCCCATGTCCATTGCCCATATTGTTTTGTTTCTAATTCCTAGATTGGCAACAACATTGGTTTTAATAACAGATTTTCTCATCAAAATATTACACAAATCAAAGAAAGTGAAAGCATTAAAAGAGAAGGAAACCATCATAATGAGCTGCAAGTAAAATGGATTTAGGAGAACACGATCTAAGATGAATAATGTGTTTTGGATCCTACATTGTCAAGGAAAAGACTACAAAATAAAAAAGAAAAAAAAAAAAAAAAAAAAAAAAAAGTGGTTCTCACGAGTATATTCATGCTTAAACTATTCAAATAAGTCTAAGAACACATAAATGAAACACAAAATCAAACACAGAGAACATGTAGATAGAGCAGGCCCCTCTAACAAATCTTTTGTAAAATACTATCTATTTAAATATTTTCTGTGTCCGGTTTTATATTTAGTTTTGTGTTCTTAAACTTCTTGCAAACTATTGTACTTAGAAAAGGACTCACATGAAGTAAGAAACTTCACTAAAATGTTGTCCCCAGTTCTTCTTGTATCATCATCACTCACTGCATGGAATCATCATCTTGTTCAACTTCTGATGCTGGTTCATCCTCTTCCTCAAAGCCGCCATCGATGCCAAAAGCTCCATGGCCATGTCCAAAGGCCTTAATATGGTCTTTAAGAGACCTCTTGTGCTTGAAATCAGATCCACATATGCAATACCAAAGCTTCCCACAATTCTTCTCATGGGTCCTCCAATCCCCCCTCACAGCAAAGGCCTTGCCACATTTTCTACACATGAAAGGCTTGATTCCATGCTTCCTCTTGTAGTGAGTTTGAAGGGTTCTGAAATCTTTAAGCGGCTTCGACCGTGGGTGATCAATGTTGTTCCTGCACCCTGGTGCACAACAATAGCAAGGAAGCCTCAGCATGCCTGTTGGTTGAGTCCCCCTTAAAGATTCTGGCCCTTTCCTATACTGTGATCCATGCCCCCACATATGCATCTACAAAATTTTAAATTAAACCCATAATTCATATTGCAAAAATTTAGAAAATTCATTAAAAAATAACCCACAAATGTGTGTCTAGATTATTGTTTTTTCTAACTATTTTTCTGTGCACGGATTCTAGGTATGTAGCATTACTCTTTTGATATAAATTAAGTTGAAATGTGAGAACACTAAAGAAGAGCTAGAGAGCAAAGGAATTAAAGGAAGGGTTGTATTATGCCCTTTAGATTTCTGTTGTTGAACAACTGGAATATATTTATTCCTCAAATTGGTGTTCTTCAAGAGTTGTTCTGATAGGAAGACTTCTCTTTGTTCTCCATCTGCTAATATTTATGGATCGCTAGGTTCTATGTCTCTTTAGGATTAGAGGGAAAAAAAGAGAAAGATGTGCTTTAAAAAGAATATATATATATATATATATAAATAAGGTTCAAGTTGAGTTTTAGGAGAGAGATGTCTTGTCTGAGAAGATAAGAAGGGGGTGAAATAACTTGTGCATGGACTTTTCATGTCTGTAAACTGCTATTTTTTATTTTTTATTTTTTGAGTTGCAGACTGAAAGTGTTGACATAGAAGAAATTCTGTTCCTTGATGGTGATCATCTGAGCAACACTGAGAAATTTTCAGTTCAACACACACCTGGTCAAATGAGTTGAGCAAAGCACAGACTTCAAGTCTACTAAAAGCATAAGGAACATTGCCTGTGTTGTTCAATCAACATAAATGAAGGGTGTACTCAACTTTACTCAGACTCAGAATTGACATATTCACAATCCCAAAACCCATTAACCATGCAAATTTTTTTTATTTTTTAAAAGGAACTAAACAATATATATACATATATATAATAATAATTTCAAGAAACAAAATAGAATACCCACATGATAAATTCACCTTTTTTTTCTTAATAAAAATAATTAAGATACAATAAAAAATCAAGATCAACCTAGGAAGCTATTGAGTTGAGGCCATGTTTTTATAATGGTATTAAGATATGTATAGGCGATATGGTGCTTGTATTGAACAGTATCACCCAATATATCATTGAATAATAATAGTGAAAATTCAAATTCTCAATACATGTTGGCCGATATTTGAAACTCAAGGTCCAACCCACGCAGGATTTCTTCAATTGGAAAAAAGAAGTTGAGTAAGAAACAGGATAGAGATGATAAAAGAAAGTTTTTTTTGAATCATGGTTTGATGTGATAAAAACTTACCTGCATGTTGTTGTATCTGTTGAAGGTCTTGTAGCAAACAGGACATGAGAACTGTGTAGGACCAATGAGAATCTGAGAAGGGGTAGGGATCCAATACTGTCCCTTGTTGAGTCTATTCATAGGGTACCCAGAAACATCACCACCACCATCTCCATCTTTATGATCATCAGTGATTTCAGTAGAAGAAGACGAGAGCATAGAGGCTAGATCAGAAGCACTAGGGTTTGGAAGCCCTATGTGAAGTGCTACAGTAACAGTTTCACCATCATCATCTTCATCACCATCATCATCATCACCAGCTCTAGTACTACTTGATGAGAAGAGGCTTTGGCTTTCTAGCCTGAGCTTTTTCTTGTCCACATCCATGGAAGTACAAGAGGGTTCTTGAGCATCATGTCTTGATGGGCTTAGGCTAAGGAGAGGTAGGGCTTCTTTGAGAGGAGGAGAGGGAGGTGGGGTTTGGTAGGGAATGGGGTTGTTGAGGTTGAAAAAACCATTTGATGAGTAGAAGTTTTGGGTAGAGGAGGGAGGTTGAGGAAGTTGAGGAGGAGGGGGGTTTGGAGAAGAGAGATAGAGAGGGTTGAATTTGAACCATTGAGAGTAGAAATTTGAGTAGGGGTCAGCCATGGTTGAAAAGGTGAGAGAGAGGGGAGGATGGTTGGATGGATGGTTTTGCTTTTATAGAGAGAGAGAGAGAGAGAGAGTAGATGAATGAAGAGTGGATGGTAGAGAGAGAGAGTCTGGGGAGTGGAGACTGATTGCACCCTAACAAATTAATTAAAAGGAAGTAATAAAGTTAAGGGGAAAGAAAGATAAAATCACAGTGAAAAATAACGAAGTAGAATCTATTAATCTAATATTGATTAAATGAAACAAAAATCAAATATTATTTATCTAAAATATAACCAAATCATGAAGAAAAAAAAAATGTTTTTAAAAAGTAAATAATAACTGAGAATCGATCTTAGGGAGGATTTTTTACAGTCACCCTAAAAGTACAAACTCACCATATATGTAACTATTTATTAGTCTCACATTTCAGACCAAATATGATATTTACTTGCCCTAATACTTTTGAGATAAAACTTAGGCAATTTACCATTTGAGCTGACCCACACTAATTAGGAAAATAGCAGTATGCTACAGTTAAGTCCCAAATTTTTTTTCCACATACATATATATATATATATAGCTTCAGATGATTATAATAACGTAACATATATTTTGTAGAGAATGATGCTACACAAACAGCAAAAAATAAAAATCAAATAAAATTACATACAAATTGGTGTCTGAATTATAATTTTCAATTTTAAAATAAAATATTCATAAAAATAAATTTTGATTTAAAAAAATAAAAATTTTATCACAACGTAAGAAAAATAGTAAAATATAGTTTTCTTTCTCTTTCTATATGTTAACCTCAACTTTGTCAATAACACTGTGTTTGGTTGAGCGATTTAGGAAGGGATTTGTAAAGGAAAAGAGAAAAGGTACGTGAAACTATGTGAAATATAGGTATGTTTTATTCACATTTCACCTATCTTTTTCATTTCCTTTTCCAAATCCCTCCTCAAATCTCCCAACCAAACACAGCATAAGTGAAAATTAAAAAGAGAATTTTTCTATTTTTCTGTAGCGTATTAAACACTTGGGTTTGGTTGCCACTTTTTTTAATTTGAAAAATTCAAATTAATTCAATTTTCGATAGCACTCTAAATGATTAACAGGATAATAATAAATTTCTTCTACAATCAGTAAAATATGTATTTCGTGTTACTCTCTGCTCTCTAAACTTTTACTTTTGTCAATCTAATCCCTAATGCTGTGTTTGGTTGGAGTTTTTGAGGTAGGATTTGGAAAAGGAATGAGAAATGTAATCCTATTTATGTTTGGTTATAATAAAAAATATAAGAGAATTTTTCTATTTTTCTGTAGCGTATTAAACACTTGGGTTTGGTTGCCACTTTTTTTAATTTGAAAAATTCAAATTAATTCAATTTTCGATAGCACTCTAAATCATTAACAGGATAATAATAAATTTCTTCTACAATCAGTAAAATATGTCTAAACTTTTACTTTTGTCAATCTAATCCCTAAGCGGGATGGGCCCCAACAAGATGGTTTGCCAAACCCAACTCAGAATTTTGGAGTTTGGAATAAGTATACATATTTGCCCATACTGTCAGAATGGGCTAAAATTTTGAGTTTGTTTATTTTTTGGGTTAGGCTTGAATTAAAAAATTATAACCTTGCTTGGCCGGGCTATTTATAAAATTTTATTTCGAAAATTAATATTAGATAGTAACGTAATAAACTATATAATAAAACAATAAGCAAAATGTGTAAATGTTTCTTTTGGCTTCAATTAAAGCATTTGTTAAAAAATCAAAATTTATTTGCAATTGAATTTTGTTAATGGATCAATTTCAAATAATTATTAAAATACCTAATTTCATTTAATAACCCTTCAAGATTTTTAAAAAAATCAATGGTCCATATATTTTGAGTTAAGTGGGCAGACTTTATTTATTTATTATTTTTATAAAAAAATTAGGGTCATGCTTGGAATGGGTGTATTAGATCCGATAAAGGGCCAAGTTGGATTGAATTTAGAACAACATATATTGTTATTATGTAGTGTAAGTTGATCCCGAACTTGGTCCAACCACCCACTCCTACTAAACATTCCTCAAATATGCTTCATATTCTTCATCAATGTTTAGAAATTAAGGTGAAATTTTTTTAAATTTCAGAGATCAAAATGACACATAATGCATAGTTTATGACCCATGTGTATTTTTATGAAAAAAATGGGTTCAAATGGCAAGTATAAGTTTGAAAATAGACCATCTATTTTTTATATGACAATTATAATATAATCATATTGCTACTGATATTTAATTATTTAATTTTTTATATGAATACTCTACAAAACAAATTAATGTATTCACATTTTCTCGATACGTCTACTAAACCTAACAATACATCTCTAATACATCTCTAGTTAGATACTAATTAGACAGAATCCAACACCTATCCCCTTTTACAAAAGATTGACTAAATCTTCCCATCAATAAGGAGAGAATCCCATCACAAAATAAAAACCTTAGGCATGCACTTATCATTATTGAATAAAATATTAAGCAAATGAAAGGTGCTTTCCTATTGATCAAAATATCTTTCTCCTTTTACTACTCTCTCTCTCTCTCTCTCTCTCTCTCAATGCCAACAAATGAAATTGGTGGTGTCTAATAGTTCTCTTCATAAGAACTTGGTACAAGAATCTAACTTTTATTTTTAACATTTACCTGTCTAGTAAAAGCAATTAAAGACCTCAGACACCACTTCATATAATTTCATGGGAAGTTGTCTCCCATCCCTACCATACCAAGAGACTGCCACATAAAGTGTTCTCTCTCAATACATAAAATTTAAATAAAATTAAAAAATAAATAAAATAAAAACTAGGAGGGAGGGACAAGAAGCAAGTAGAAGTGGCAATCTATCCCAGCATTTCCTTTGGTAAGTGAGCAGTGGTCGGCTTGGCCCAAAAGTACAATGCTGAGAGAGAGAGAGAAAGAAAGAAACAAACAAGTGTCCGTATCCAATAATCTCTCCACCCTTCTTCGATTTTATATTACATTCATACATTTATACATACCAATGTATGCTCCCTACTCTTCCCTTTGCCCTAACTACCATTCTCTCTCTCTCTCTCTCTACAGTACTAATACATAGTCTAATCAACATAATAACTGTTATCTTATTAAAAAAAAAAAAGAAGTCCAAGAAAATTATAATAAAAGCCTCTTTCAAATTTTGAATAAGGCTACGTATATCTTATCCTTTCAAATTTAGTTTTAACAAGTCTTATACAAACTTTATCTAACACCGACTTATAAAGTGACTTTTTTGTTTTAGTTAATTTTATATTTTGTTCTTTCATTTTAATTCTTAAATCTGTCTAGAGTACACAACCCTGAATGTTTTTGGGATAAATTACTATGACTTTTCTTGAGGTTTGGAAAAAAAAAATACAGTAAATTTTACAATTTTGACATAATTATACTAACCTCCCTTTTAATAAGGTTAAATTGACCGAAACTATTGCAAATGTTGCGAAAATGTAAAAATAAATAACGTAAGATATACATTTTCATACAAAATAGATGATAATATTATTTTTTTTATCCATATAACTAATTAATTATTGATAAAAATGAGGCTAAGTGTTAAATAAATTAACATCACAAGGGAGTTTAATATAATTATGTCAAAATTTTGAGACTTACTGTATTTTTTTCAAACCTCAAAGGAGGCTAGTGTAATTTATTCAAAAAAAAAAAATTTAAATGTTCACTAAAATAAAAATATTAAATTTTATCAAAAATAGGTTATAAAAATTGAATTGTGTTGTCATTTGCTATTTTTTAATTTTAAATTATAAAATCATCTAATCTAAACCGACTTAAAAAGTAAAGAATTTCACTTAATTGAATAGGTAAAATAAAAACAAAAATAATTCTATAATACAGTACAAAGTTATTAAACACAATTCTAATAATGGAATATGGATGTGGATGTAATAGGATGTGAAACTAAAATCTTTATGTCGGTACTCAGACCTTGTCCTGTTCCTTGACAACTTTTGGCAAGTGAACTGATAAATGCATTTTGGCTTACTATATTCCTTCTCCTTATTTAAAAATTTATATAAAAAATTTATTTATTTTCTCAATTATTTTAAATGTCATTTTATAAAAATTAATTTTTATTTTTATTTTTATTTTTTTATTTTTTTTTTTACGTAAAAAGTCAATTCCCAAACAAAATCTCAATTCTCAATTCTCAATTCTCATTGATAATAGTTCACGGTTGCGTTTAGCTACAACACACTACCAAAACAGCCTAGAAGTAGTTTGGATACATACATAATAAGCTTCTCCTCTCACTCTCCCCCCTAAAGAAGATGTACTCAATTTTGTCGAATAAGTTGTAGGACACAAGACTTGATTGTTCTTGCGTATTTTTAATGAGCCATTTCATTTGAATTTGATATGACTTATAACAAATGATTGATTGACAATTTGTTGAAGATAATTTGTTGATATGACATGTAGTCGGATGTATGATCAGCATTAAGATAAAAGGTAGAAATAATTGAAAAGAAGACTAAAAAATTTTAATGACTGTAAGTGAATAGTATTGACTAATCGTGAATGTAAAAGACACATCACATCTAGATAATTACCGAATTAAGAGTACAATTCTACCAAGAACATGATGATTTATTTGGCAAAGAAACACCCGCGCTCTATATAAGGGCGTATCCTCAATGAATTAGGTACTACAAGTTTATGTTGTGATTCTATCATTATACATGTATATGTAGTTAAATACTAATTTAAGGTATCATTTGTCAACTATACATTTTAATCAAAAAGTTATTATAACTTATCAAATCACTTTCTTTACTTTTTTATACATCTTTTCGTAAAAAATCACAATATTACTAAAATAATCTACCCAAACGAGACCTAAGAATGCCAACTGATCACAAGTAACAATCATTCTATCACAGTTCAGGTTCACTAGCCTCATCAAACTATGCGGAGTGTGGCCAAATTTTTTTCACACCATAATTTAAGAATTCACTCCATTTTGAATAAAGTAAGATTGTGTTTGAGCATTTAGACATGAATAATTAACCAGTATATCTACCTTTG